CAGAAAAGCCTGGGAAGTGTCCCACACCTGATCCAAACGTTGTGACTATTTGTATCGTGACATGTGGAAGTGACTGGGAGTGTCCCGGGAAGGGGAAATGCTGCAGTTATGGTTGCTTGGTTCAGTGCATGGGTCCTAAATAAGGTAACTCCTGTATGTTGTCACTTAGTTTACTTAGATCAGGGGTCTTCAAACTTGGCCCTTTTATGACTTGTGGACTTCAACTCCCAGAATTCCTCAGCCAGGCACATGTGAAGTCCACAAGTCATAAAAGGGCCAAGTTTGAAGACCCATGACTTAGATTAGACCAAAGCAACGGCTGTGTGGTGTCTCCTAAAACCCAATGGAATGACATCTACATGGAAAGAACTATGCAGTGGGGGATCTCAATATTTTCTCTTAGGCTCAGTACTCTGCAAAATCTTCATCAACGATTTGGATGTGGGGATAGATGGGGAACTCATCAAATTTGCAGACTACACCAAGCTGGCAGGAATAGCCAACACCCCAGAAGAGAGGCTTAAGATCCAGAAGGATCTCCACATACTGAGTCCTACCCAATAAATTGCAATTCAGTGGTGAGGAATAATGACACATGGTTAGTAAAAAAACAACAACACCCAAATACACAGATATAGAATAGGTGGCACCTGGCACAACAGCAGTAACAGTGAGAGGGATCTAGGAGTCCAGAGTGGACAATCCCTTAAATATGAGCAGCTATCAAAAAAGCCAATACAATGAGGGCGAAGGGTTATTTTCTGAACTTGTGGGTTGGTTTCCAAACATTTCGTTACCAGGCTAGGTAACATCTTCAGTGGCATTGCTGTTCTGATTATAAGGACTTCAGGTGTGGGTGTGTCGAGTGAGGTTCTTGTGATGAGTCATCAGAGAGAGGCTTATGATGGGTCTTGTGGTGGGGAGATTACACCAGGATGTAATCTCCCCATCACATCAGGATGTAACCTCCTCTTTACAAGACCCATCACTAGCCTCTCTCTGATGACTCACACCCTTTCCAACTCTATTATTTTGTATTTTGTAGCTTCTGTACATTGTCACTTGTGCAGTTTGCTTAGAGTAAAGGAACAGCAGTGTGATGTTTCCTGTACTTAGACTTCGTCTAGGCCAGGGGTAGGCCACCTTGGCTCTTTTATGACTGGTGGACTTCAACTCCCAGAATTCCTGAGCCAGCATGGGGGAACTATGGCCCCCTCATGACTCGTGGACTTCAACTCCCAGAATTCCTGAGCCAGCATGGGGGAACTATGGNGAACTGCCCCCAGAGATCAGGGTGATCCCTGATCTCCCTTCCTTCCGCCGCGCCCTTAAGACATGGTTATTCCAGCTTGCAGGACTGGCCTAGGGGAAATTTTTAGAGGGGGTTTTAATTATATTTTAATTAGATCACAGTTAAATATTTCCTTTTTAATTAATTTTTAATCTTGTAATGTTATCTGTGTATTTTTACTTGATTGTTAGCCGCCCTGAGTCCGCAAGGAGAAGGGCGGGATATAAATTTAATAAAATAAATAAATAAAATAAATAAAATAGCCAACACCCCAGAAGAGAGGCTCAAGATCCAGAAGGATCTCCACATACTGAGTCCTACCCAATAAATTGCAATTCAGTGGTGAGGAATAATGACACATGGTTAGTAAAAAAACAACAACACCCAAATACACAGATATAGAAAAGGTGGCACCTGGCACAACAGCAGTAACAGTGAGAGGGATCTAGGAGTCCAGAGTGGACAATCCCTTAAATATGAGCAGCTATCAAAAAAGCCAACACAATGAGGGCGAAGGGTTATTTTCTGAACTTGTGGGTTGGTTTCCAAACATTTCGTTACCAGGCTAGGTAACATCTTCAGTGGCATTGCTGTTCTGATTATAAGGGCTTCAGGTGTGGGTGTGTCGAGTGAGGTTCTTGTGATGAGTCATCAGAGAGAGGCTTATGATGGGTCTTGTGGTGGGGAGATTACACCAGGATGTAATCTCCCCATCACATCAGGATGTAACCTCCTCTTTACAAGACCCATCACTAGCCTCTCTCTGATGACTCACACCCTTTCCAACTCTATTATTTCGTATTTTGTAGCTTCTGTACATTGTCACTTGTGCAGTTTGCTTAGAGTAAAGGAACAGCAGTGTGATGTTTCCTGTACTTAGACTTGGTCTAGGCCAGGAATAGGCCACCTTGGCTCTTTTATGACTGGTGGACTTCAACTCCCAGAATTCCTGAGCCAGCATGGCTCAGCTTGGAAACCTCTCCCTTTCCCCTCAGCATGGCTGGCTCAGGAATTCTGGGAGTTGAAGTCCACGGGTCATAAAAGAGCCAAGGTGGCCTACCCCTGGTCTAGGCACATGCAGGTCTCTTTGAGATTGTCCAGGCTGCTGTGCCTCCAGACTCTCCTCTTTTCCATTAAAGGTAGAGCTGATGTAAACAAGGAAAGTGCCATGATGCTGAGGCAGAATGTGGGTTGGCTCTTCTTCCTAATAAGTTGCCACTTCCATTATGTGGAAGTCCTCAGGCTGACTTTCCCTGACCCCCTCCCACTGTCTGTTGACTTCTTCTCCTCCTGAACCTCCATTGGGAGAAAGGTCCCCCCCCCATTCCAGCTGCTGCTGGGTAGTTGTGTTGGAGAAGATGGTCCTCCTTCCAGCCTGGTCAGGAAGCCAGAAGGTCCCAGGCAAGGAGGACTTCCAGGAGGAGGAGAGGCTGGGACAGAACCCCTTGCCCACTTTGGTCCAGCTCATCCTCTGGAATTTATTTATTTATTTATTTATTATTTAAATTTATATACCGCCCTATCTCCCTTACGGGACTCAGGGTGGTGAACAGGCAATAATAAAAATCACAATAAATATTGAATAAAGAGCCTGCTCTAAAATACCCCATATAAAACCCCTAGCAAAGCCCAATCAAAACTACGCCAGGCCGGCTACATGGAATAGATGGGTTTTCAAGGCTCGGCGGAATGACCAGAACTGGTCCAAGCTCAGGTGACAGGAAGGTCCACCGCTTTGCCAGGGGCACCAAAGATAAGCTCACATTTCTGGCTGTAAGAAATGCTCCCTGTGTGAGTTAGAAAGCTCATATGAACATGTCCAAACAGTTGGCCTTGAGGTCTCCCAGAAAGAGAAGATTGGGGGGGGAAAAACATTGGAGGTCTTCTAGTCCACCCTGCTTCCAGTGCAGAAATCCTCAGAGCATCATGGAGAGATTCTGTCTCACCTTGGCTCGAAACCTTCAGTGATGGACCCTCATAACTTCAAGGAGGAGGTTGCCCCATTGCTTCCTTCCCCAATCAGGACATTCCTCCAGATTTCAGGTTTGGGTCTCCATGGCTGTACGATTAGGGAGGGTCAAATCCTAAGCAGCACCAGAAGCAATTATGGGCAGAAACCTCATATCTGAATTTTTGTTTTTACAGGATCACCGAGGAGGAGACCCACCCGATGTCAACGCTGCTAACATCGGATGTTCTTGCTTTGACCAACATATGGAGATGCAACCATTTTCCTTTTTATGTTTTACTCTTAGAATTAGAGTTAGAATTAGATGATACTGGGTGGGGGGAGGAGGAAGGTGCATGGGAGTTTAGTTAGACATAACAATACTGTCACTAGTGTGAGAACCAAGGTTATTGAAATAAGAGATGATAAGAATTGGCGGGTTGGAGAACTGGAGGGAGAGCCTGCATTTCAAACTAATTGGAGAATGTGATTTATGACTGTAAATTAGAGGAGGGAATCTTGCTTTGATACTATGTGTTCAGGGGAGGAAAATTCAGATTTTGACTTTGGCTATGTAAGTGCCGATGCTATGCTTCTCGAATAAAGATTCTTTAAGGTACACAATGCCTCGAGGTTCTTTGAGGAGTTTCATCTGTCGGAACCATGACATCCAAATTATGCCCCAGTATCACCCAAAGACTCTTCTTCTATCCTGGGTCATCGTGGAGACCCCCCCAAAAAAACCACTCTAGATTTATTCCTTCTTTTGCAGAATAAAGCATTGGTCCTAGCTTCCCTCTCAGTCTCAGGTGTCTTCTTCTGCCCCTTTGTGATTTTCCCCTCCCTACCTTGACCCATGTCCTCCCCACGTTAAAGGAAGTATACTAAACCCATGTACACCAGGTGCCTTCAGAAGACTTGACCAATACTTGTAAAACACCAGGCAGGCATCACGTATGTGTGGAAGTCTGCTGTCTGGTGCTTCCTGAAATCCAAGGTTAAATGACCATGGAAGACCACCAGGCAAAGAGGGGGACACGTGAGCCAGCATCCCGGAGTGGCAAAGCAAGACCAGGCAGATCTTAAAACCTTCAGTGATGGTGAAGCACGTCAGATCATGAAGCCACAGACCCAAACTGTGCGAAGAGGACAAAAACTGACATTAAGCGGGCATGAGAAGGCACAACATGAAGATGTATGGAGTTATATTTCTTTCTTGGGTGTCTTTTCAGGTTCACTTTACCAAGTTGAACCAGAGGCTCATTGCTTAATGAGTTGAAGAACATCCCTTTCCACCTGGGTGAACTTTTCTAAAAGTCTCTCCTTCAAAAGGACCTTGAAAGCAAGTTGTCCTTCTTGGCAGACATAAAACTCTCTGTTGCTCAGATCGACGGATATCTTTCCTTAGGTCCCCACAAGGGCTTAAATCAGGGGTGTCAAACTCGCAACGTCACGTGACGTGTCGCAACGTACCGTGACTTTTTCCCCATTGCCATCAATGGGGTGGGCGTGGTTTCAGCGTGATGCATCCAGCCCGCGGGCTGGCAGTTTGACACCCCTGGCTTAAATCTCCCAGAGCTCCATAGGAGTCTTGCTCTTCAGGTCAACTTCAGGAGAAGTCCCCACTTGAGGAAGAAGAAGGATCTGGCCACAAGCCCTCTCCCAGCTTCTTTATGTCCACCCCTTTCTCAGTTGGCCACCATAAGCCCATCCCCTCCTTTCCACAAAGGCCCATGTAGGTGTCCTCCATGTTTGAACATCTTCTCTGCCCTCCACACAAGCCAAGGGATACCTTTGGCTAATGGATCGCTGACCTAGCTCAGTCTCACCCTCTCTGGTGAGATATTCCATGAATGTTATTTTCACAGGACCTTTATTTTTCCAACTCAACCCAGCCTGGTTAG